CTGAAAAAGAAAAAGAACATGAATAAGTTGCGTACAATGATGCAATCTTCTCTAGCAGGGCAATAATATAATATATCAATGATTGTAACATTAATTATTTGAGTTAGCTATACTAAGGAACACAGCAATTAAACTAAATACTCCAGCTCCTTCAACAAAAATAATTAAAACAGAATCAGCCACCTGAACCATGATAAAGCATACCATCAAAAAACCCCTCATAAACCCTAAAAGCCTCCGGCGTTCACTTAAGAGATCTGATATGAATTCAAGAAAAATGTCTCGAAGATTCCTTCTCCATCACTCCCCCAAAATTCCAGGAATCAATCCAGAGAGATCTCGAAAAGCTACTACAAGTCTTCAACTAGACAGGCCAGACATGCCAAGTCCCTGTTTTCTAGAAGTAATATCCACAAAATCACTTTTCCAACAAAATTTCTTCGCAGACATAAATAAAAGAAAAAAGCCGAAAAAGAAAACAAAAATGATTGGCTTTTCATCTGAAGATAAATGTGGGGATTAAGTTTCCATATTTTTTTTATCAGATCCAGTAAATGGCTGTAACGTAAATGTCCAAATCTTAAAACGAACGCTAACAATCTATTCAACAAAAGTCCGGAATCAGTGTAACACAGACGATACTTTGTCATGCATCTCCGCATATGAATCAGAGTAAACGACCAATAATGAAGAAAACAACAAAACTAACCGCGACCACTAACCATCTTTAACAGAGGCATCAGCTTGGGCAACATTTCGGGCCATGGCGGCCAAGAGCGCGATCCCGTGCTCCGCGGCGGCAACCGTATTTGCAGTAGGAGCATTGACGACGAGGCAGCCAAACTCCGTAGCTGCCGCCAGATCCACGTTATCAATCCCAACGCCGGCCCTTCCAACAACTCTGAGCCTCCCGCCGGACGACTCGAACACATCGCGGTTCACCTTCGTCCCGCTACGCACGATCAGCGCGTCGCAGAGCGAGATCTTCGTGCACAGCTCCTCAGGCGTCAGGTTGAACGAGCAATCGACATTCGCGAACTCCTTGAGCAGCGTCAGCCCGGCGTCCCCAAGCTTCTCGGCCACAAGCACCGTCGGCTTTGCGCCAGCAGCGGAGGCGACGATGACAATTCTCCGGTTTGACAACCCAGCACGACCGGGAAAAGCGGCGACGGAAAAGGCGGAGGGAAGAGGTAGCTTGGAGGAGAGAGACGGAACTACCTTAAGAGTCGACGGAGCGGTGCGCATGGTAGCCATTTCGGACGGTACCGATATTTTCTATGCGCCGAAATAGTTGGGAAAGGAGAAGAGTTTGCGGGATCTGAGAAAGGGTTTAATATTTATAGTCCGTGTTTACGTGAGCGTGCAGCTGCAAGTTGACGCGGGGGGGGGTCATTTGAACACAATTTTGACCTGACACGCGCGTGGGATCAAATGCGGAAGTTGGGGAAGGTGTAAAAAAAAAGAGCGCGTGACTGTACCTGTTCGGACGCGAGTGGTTTATGGCGATTCCGTGGGCTTAGTTTGCTGAGTGATGGAACAAAATGACCTGCCGTTTATTTTAAAATGGTTTCTTCTATTTTCCGAGTAAAACAAAGTGTTTAATTTTATGGTTAAAAAAAAAAAGTATTTTAATTCCAAATGAAATTTGATTTTAAAATTAATTTTGCATGTAAAATTAATTATAATTGTTATGGGTACAAAAAATTAGTAATATTTAGCATTATATTTATTAAATATTTTAAAATATAGCAATTAACTGTATTTATATTATAACTCGGTACATTTTTCTATCAAGCAAATCTTTTTATTTTTTTTGTAAATTTTATATTTGTGAATGACATTTTCTAATTTTTCTTAATCTAAATATTAGACTATTTTTGTTGCGCACGATGGAATTCATAATATTTAGATAATAAATACTTAAAAATAAAATTATGCTTAGCATTATTTATCTGTTAAAAAATATAAAATAATATTATTTTATATTACTTTTTGTTTAATTTTAAAATTACGAATTTAAATTTTACTGAAAACATAAAACTCGTAACTTCTTAAATATATAATGAACAGTAATTAATGTTTTATTGAATAAAGCTTAGGATTTAGTTCTTTAATATGTTTGTAATATTATAGTAATTAAACTATATTTCATTCTAATAAGTCATAATGTAATTATACAAAACAAACAATATGTCACAACTAAATTTTTTTTATATTTTTTAACAGATAAATAATGTTTTCGATAATTTCAATTATACATATAAAAAAATTAAAATTTCTACCGTAAATAATTCACTCTACCTTACCCAACTCATAATTTTACTCCCTAATTAAGAACAAAATCAAGGTTAACAATAGTTTAAAGTCTAAATGAAATTTGCAATTTTTAATATTTGACAACATTCACTTTAACAATTCTCTTGGCCACTGAATTTTTTTTATAAGCAAGAAGCATTCAGAAGGCCATGGGGCAAGTGGGTGGCAGAATTTGTTTAGCTTTCTTAAAATTTATTTTTAAATCACTGAAAATTAGATATATCTATATATATATATATATATATTCTTTTTAAATGTATTAAGAATTATCAAATAGGAAAAAAGGCGTAGAAATCAGAATCTTGTTCTTTTTTCAACGAATAGTGTCTAATTGATTCCACTACTAAACACTATTTTATATCTATTTATTTTAATTAATTAAAAGTTTTGAAAAATAATTATTTATAATATTATTTTTAAAAATATTATTAAAATAATAATTATTATATATAAAAATAAAATAAATAGTTTAATTAAATATACAATCATATCAAAACGGTGAGTATGAAGCAAATCTAAAACCACAAGTGGGACCCAAATCCACAGGTCGGTTTGTTTGTTTGTTTTGGTAGGTGAAAAGTACGAAGAATACGAAACGTGTTTTGTTTTTTCATTTTCATTTACATTAAAAGTGGGGTACGTGAGCTCTTAATCTAATTGGAAATTAAATTATTATTTTATATTAAAATATTATCCCATTTCCTAAATATTAAACATAAATTTTCAAATTAAATATTTTTCTTATACTAAACTTAATTTTTAAATAAAAAAAATTATAATTTAAAAATAAAAGCAATTTGTTCGAATAAATTCACACGTACATTAATAATTCAACGCTCCGCAGGAGAAAATTATAATGAAATAAAAATAGAAATATTCAAAAATGTAAAGCAATTGATTTAGGAAACTAGTAGGCGGAGTGAAGGAAAGAGGAAAGGTATGCATGAGCTAACATTCGGCCCAGCCGAACCTGGGCCTCTGTGGTTAAATGAAGCTTATCTTCCTTAAGCTGCAATCCCCGTGCATCTACGCATTCTACGTTTCCTATTTTAATTGCTTTCTGTGCTTCTCTTACTTTCTCCAAGTACCTCTCATCTCCCGATGCCAATGCTACCTGCTTCGATTGGATCATATGTTTTCTTGTTTAATGAATTATTACGTTTTGAATGCGAATCGAGTTGTTTCTGGATAAATTACTGTTTGATTTAAAATTTGTTTGAATGCGAATCGAGTTGTTTCTGGATCAATTATTGTTTGATTTGAGATTTGTGAGTGATTAATTTTATAGTTTCGTGAAATAAAATTGAAGAGGAGGATTTGATCGGACGGACCTGAATGATTGGGAGAGAAGGCAGGCAAAGATCACGACGGACATCGTGTATCAGCTTCTCCATTTTCCCCTGGTACGCCTCGGCATCGTGCAGGTGCGACGTGTCGCTCTCTCCTTGATACCACAGCAACGCCGTGATCTCACCTCTACCGTCCTTCACGCTTTCTCTAGCTCTCTTCACCATGTTCTCATACAAGTGCTCACCACGCGCCCACTCCTTGATGGCCGTGCCGCCGACCGCGCAAGGAACCAGTCCGATCTCCACATCCGGCCCCACGAGGTTCCTCACCGTGTTAGCGAAAGCCATTCCAGGTCCGATTCCGCAGGTTTTCTTCGTGTCGATGTCGGAATGGAGTGGCTCGTGAGCCGGCTCCCAATGGATCTTGGCGCTGAGACGGCGGATGGAA